AAATGATAATCCATATGCTATTTTATTGCCGGATGAAATGAAATAAATTTTGGTATTAAATTAAATAAGTTTTAGTATCAACAAGACACTTAGCTTCAAAAAAATTTGAAAAAGTAAAAATAACTTATGCAATTGTAAAAATAGATGAAATTAAAAAGTAAACAATTACAATTGTCAAGGTCTGAAAAACTGAAACTCATAATAGTTGGGGTCCAATAAGTGAATATTGGATCTAATTAGGAGGACCCAATTTGTAATTTGTATATTAAAAAAAGGTTTCATCATTACTCCATAATTAATTAATAATTACAGAAAAAATTATAAAGTAAAAAGGTTATCATTATATTATAATAATAGTATTTAAGAAAAAAAAATTTAATGATTATGTGGTCATTTTAGATAATAGAGAGGTCTAATTAGATGAACCCATTTAAAATGCATCTTTCAATTTATACATACTACTATGTTCTTCAACTTTCAAATATATCTTAAACATGTTCAAAATATAAATTATATCTTGAATTTATACACACTACTACATTCTTTCTTCAACTTTCGAATATATCTTGAATTACTTCAACTTTTAAATTTGTCTTGAATTTAGTTGCAGAAGATGAAAAACATTAACGATCTGAATTGAACATGAACATTGAAGACTCGGATATGAACTTAATAGATTTGAAGATGAAGAACATTATATACTAAACGGATGATCAATTTCATATTCAGTTTTATGTTGTATGTTTGGTCTTATTTTATAACAAATCTTGTATTTGTTTGTTCTAACATAAAGATATTTTTTTATGGTATTTCTATTTGTTACTTTCAGTGTTCATATTCATCTCAAATTTAATTCAGCGTTCAATTTATATTCGATATTTAGTCTAATACAACACACGTATTGAATAAGTCAAGTTGACATCTATGCCGAAAATAATCATAACCTTATACTTTCATTTAGTGATTTTGTGAAAAACAAACATTTTTATTTTGGTTTCAAGTAGGTTGTTTGGATTACTCTCTGGATTAAAGAGACAAAAAAATCAACATTATGACGACATTATTTATGTCTTATGCAGTGTAACTATTATATATATTAAGTTATTAACTATTTAACTACACAACTTATTTTATATTTTACAATAGAACAAATACACGAGTTTGAAACTAAAATACAGTAAAGAAACGAGGGTTAAAATAAAGGGTATTGTGAAATCTGGCACTATTAGCATTGGACGTCGTTATTAACCGTTCGGTCGGAAAAAGCCAGTTGGACGGTCTATTCTTGATATCAATCAGACTGGGCAGCGGTCCAAATGGAAGCAGACAACAACCGGCGAGATTTCCACCCCAAAACAAGCTTATTACAACCAGATTCCTCCACCCTATACCCATCGTTAAACAGACCCAACAACAGTTTAGCTTGACAGTGATTGGCGAAGCTGATGTTACCCTGATGATACCCTGCCGCTAACAGCCAATCAGCCCACGAACCACATTCTCCCTCTTCCCGATACACCCGAGCTAATGAACCAAGTATCCGTGGACCCAGAAAGACCCGTTCCACTAATGCCCGGGACTTACCCTGCATCGGAAACCCCGCTTCCAAAGAGTCGTACACTGCGGAGTAGTTGTGCAGTGTATCCATGAACCTACCCACGAACCCACCGTCAACTCTGGGTCCTTCTTCCTCCACCAGCGTCACCAGTTTAGGGTTTAGAGTCTTGGATCCAGATAGAAACGATGCCACCGAAGTGTGAGACCGGTAGCTGAAGTGTGGCAAATGCAACATACAGTTGATTACGATCGCCTCTCCTCTTACTAGTTTTAGTGATGTAGGTTTGAAAGTTTCGTTGGGATCTAGTTTGCATTGATGGAAGGAGAAAGGTTGACCGATTGAAGCTGCAAAAGCAACTAAACGACGCCCAGTTTCTTGGACGGTGGAGATGGATCTCCGACCACTTCCGGGGAGTGATAGCGCGGTGATACGAAGGTGGGGAGGCGGTGGTCCGTCTTTACGGGAGATCAAGGCTTGCATTAGCGATGCCCACTGGATGCCTTCCATGATATCGTAATCGATTATATGGACTCTTCGTTCATGAGTTACTGCTTCGATGATTGCTTGATTGGCTGTAAAATGGCCGAACTTTACATACGGTGACATGTCCTGTAAGAGCTGGAATGCCGCCAAGATGTCATCCCGGTGGTGGTGGTGTTGTTTATAATGTAACCCACCACCACCACCGCCGCCGCCGTTGCTTTCAAGCAGTGTATGTAAGGCGTGGGTGAAATAGGCGGCGAGCCTCTCCATATTAGTGCCTTCATGTGTGGACACCATATCCTTGAGCCGAACCAGTATCACAGCAGCCAGATCATGACCTTTGTTGTCGCTAGTCATCGCCTCAGCTGCAGCCATCAAAAGGTGAACCAACCGAAGACCTTTAATATCGTCTGTATGGCAATCAACTACTGGTTCAATCATCATCGGAGAGACAAGATCCGGATCATCGTCGGAGTAGGAGACTGTCTTATCTGTATCTTCATCCATTTCAGGTTCGAGAAGGTCATGAAAGTTCTCTTGGGGATGAACGGAAAATGCTTCCCAGTCTACAACCGGCGACCAGTCACCCCATCTACGAGACTGATCATCCTCCAGGTCTGGGGTTGTGGTGGTGCTGCTGGTGAAATCCGATAAATCAAGTTCCGGCAGCTCATTAACTGCCATGGCCATTTTCAGGCGATGTGTGTTTCCGATTGGTAATAATGTCCTTCGGGGTGGGAACTAGGATAAATCACTAGAATTAAGATTGTGTTTGTTAACGTATACTTTGGTTTAGTACCCTCTTTTTATAGTGGATGCCAATGTTTGGGCATCTGTAGTTCTAACATAAAAAATATGTTTAATATTTAATAAAGAAATAACATATATGTCTTAAGCATTAATTTTATTTTTATAGCTGATGGCAATGTTTGGGCACCTCTAATGTTTAAGCATTAATTTTATTGTGCACTCTCACTTACTTTAAACGTAATATCACAAAGATATGTTTAATATTTAATAATAAAATAACATAAATTTTTGTATTACCATACTAGTTTTACAATAAAAATATTACTACATAGTATACATTAACAACATATCATGAAAAAATATTACATATTATAAATAAATACTACTAGAAAAAAAACATTTAACGAAGTAAGAATAACCACACATTGGTTTATGATAGGCAAAATCTTATCATAAAAGTAATATCCTTTTTAGTAAATCATAATTAAGAATTTACCACAAACATAACTATCTATCATAAATTTATGTTATCCATTGAAAAATATTACAACATACAAAAATGTATGTCGTATTTTAATGTTATAAATAAAAAACCATGCACTATCCTTTCATTTTAAGTTCGTCGTTTTAAAAACTCACTATCGTCTTGTAATTACTTCTTGCTTCTTCATTTGTTTGAAGAGCATCGATTGCGTCATCACTCTCTCTGTGATATAGGGTTTATGATGTGAGGGAAATCGACTCACATGATTGCTCCCTATTGCCTCTGATTCCCCGTCCTCACGAATGTGTTTTAGGGTTAATCCACTTTAATCGGCGCCTCCATCGATGTCGTTGCCAAATCAAGGTCTTTCGATTCTGATCAAAACGGAACATAAATATTCATTTGAGTGAGAGCGAAGGTATAAGAAGTGAAGGTGTTCATTATTATAGGTGGATTGGGTTTGTGGATGCAACACGGTGTTTAAAGTTGGTTTGTAGAAGCGAGTGTTTTGATCGAGCTTTTGATTTAAGGGTACTTTTCCTTGGTCCAACCATCTTCTCAAAAATGGAATCCATTATGTTAAAGGTATTACTCTGCATCTATCTTCTACAATTGAGGATTTGTTCTACTGAACTTTGAAGTTTGTTTGTGTTTGTTGGTTTAATTCGAGATTTATGTTTTCTAGTGTTAAATTCAATTCTAATTTGATTTATCATCAATTTCAATCAATACCGTATCTCAAAATTTATTACTAATGATCAACTTTATACAAAATTGATTCATCATGAATTTCAAGTTAATTGCACACACAATTTAACAAGTATTTCTTGTTCATTTTGAGTCATTACAACTAAGAGAAAACAATATCTAATCGAGGTTAAGGAGAATACAAACCACCTACTTCTAAGCAAGAGTTTCAACCATACCTTATTATGGAGCAACTATCTTGATATCAGCCATGACAATATCTCAAAAGGGTGGTGACAATGTAACTAATAATATATATATATATATATATATATATATATATATATATATATATATATATATTATATTTGATTACTAATAATAAGTATTACATTCAATAAAGAAATTGCTAGTTTGAATTTTATTGAATCAATCGAGGTTGAGAAAGCCAAGGTGATTCAAACATTTCTTTTTCTTTCAGGATTCAACACGTTAATGAAAACCATGTTTGGAACTCGATTGTCATATGTTGTTGCTGTCATGTGTATTTTTAGTCCTTGTAATCTCCATAATTCATGTTAAAAGATGTCATATGTTTTAAGAATCCCTCTAGGTACATCTTATCAAACATATTGAGTGGTTTTCGTCCATTCAAATGGGATTATTTATTTTTGTCAAAGAAACTATAAAGATATTTTCAAAGACTATACGATGAATATAAGGTGCTCTAGTCATTGTCTCATCTTTTCTGAGGATTCTTGGATTCCTTGGCTTGTGAAGAAACACTATCAAGTAATGTGTTCGATGTTAATTAAATCTTTTAGTTTATGTTACTATATTTGAAATCTTGAAGCATGTATATATAGGTATCATAGACCTCTTTTGGTTGTTCCTTTTGTTACTTTCATTGGACTTGGCATGTACCACCTTGCTTTTCCCATGCTAAGATCCATTTTAGATGAAAGAAAAATATAATAATTGGGATGAAAGAAAAAGAAATAAAATAACTTTGATAGTCCTCATCTCACCAGTAAGTTTTGAAAAATTTACTCATAGTATAATAAAATCAAACTAACGTTGCTAGATATTTTGAATCTGTGTACTATCTTTCTTTATATCTAACCTTTAAAAAGCCAATATGTGATCACTTTGCATTGTTGTTTTCTGTCTCGATTGCATGAACATATGTAGGAATATTGACACTGAGTGGTGCATACAACAAATATACAAACCCTTTAAAATAAATTTCGTATAGATCATTTTGGACTTATACATGGAACTCCTTGGTGAACTTACATACTTTGCTTAAAAATATGCATAACCTTATTCTTTATTTCTTAATGATCTTATTGTTAGATTGTGACATCCCCAATTTCACGTCCAGAAAAGACCAATTTGTTTATGTTTTATTTTAAAATCAGAGTATTCTTTTGAAGAATAATATTGTGGAATTTGTTCCCAAAAATATGATAAATATATTATCAAAGCATTTCCGAAGAAATGTGTTTTAATTATACTAAAAACCTTGGGATGTCATTGTCAAAACAATACAATATCATAAACAGAAGTACAGGCCCTATAACATCTATTATTCTAGTGGCCTATAATCCATTGATCTCTCATCAGATTATTACTCCTGCCACTACCTATAATACAAGAAACTGAGTGGGTCAGGCTTGGGAGCCTGGTGAGCACATAGGGTTCTCAACCCACAATAATTAAGTTTATTAATTTCATCAAATCAATCAACCTGATTACCCATTCCCGTTATCCTCACTTTCTGTCCCTGAAGCATCTAAATTAAGGGACCTAGCCTAAGGATTTTCGTCGGGATGACAACTCTGCTTAGGGGATTCCTCAACAATACATGTCAATAAGGCAACCATGAGGGGGATGGAGTACACTTGTCAACGTTCCACTAGACTATCTAGAATAGTACGTGGTCGTCATCTATACTCCGCTAGATGACTTAATCAGCTTAAACATCGAGGTCACTCATCATTTTATTTCATCTTTCATCATCTATATCATATACCCATCTTTACTCAACATATTTATAGGTATAAAATACATATACAGTTTAAATCAAGTAAAACGTGTATAATTCGTTCATCCAGCATAGATATCAAGACAAAGATAATAGGCACATATAGCACGTAATTTATATTAAATACTTCATATCTATATGTAGGATGAAAGTAACTATGCACTCACTTATTAAACTGATGACTCGAAATTCGGGCAGCGCTTCGCTTCTAACAATTTTCTTTTCCTTCTACGAAACCTAGTATCATTGTTACTAAGTTTTAGTCTAATATTTAATACGAATAATTATTAGTCTAGATTCATCATTAATTCAAAGTCTACTTTCATGATCTATCAAGTAAAGAACAACCAGGTAGGATCATATCAGAGGTAGGGTCCGTTTGGTATACAAAGTATATTGTTTGGAAAGTCCACTTTAAACACCTTACTAAATCACAACGTAGACATCATCCCCGTAAGTAGATTAATCAGTATAACGACTTTGAATCATTGATAAATCTTGTTTATAGGTTCATAATAACGATAATGAACTTAAACATAAGTTATACTTAAAGTAGGGTAAGCATAACTCACTTACAAGAGGGTTTAGCGAAGAACTAGGCTCTGCGTGGGCATAACTTCTGAGTCGAAAGATCTTCTTCTCGGGGCCTTCTGGCGCTCTGGGACTCACTTCTAACACCTAAGAGGTGCTACGGAAAGGCTTAGAGGGTTTGGGAGTGTTTGGGAGAGAATGGGCTAGAAGGTGTGAAGAAATGAAGTGATTTGCGCTTCTATTTATAACTTGTCTGAATGTCGTATGTTGGGCGTACTGGATGGGTACGCTGGGCGTACTCAGGCCAGGTGTCAACATCTGGTGGCAAGGCGTGGGGAGGAAGCAGTGACTCAGATTGCGCCACGTGTCACTCGCTGGTTACTCCAAAAACTAATTATCTTCTTAAATCTGTAACTTTTGCATACGAGCTTTGTTTTTTGACGTTCTTTACATCCACGCATACGTATCGACGAGATCTACAACTTTCGTTTAGACTCCGTCGGCTAATTTTGACTTTATTTTTAAAGTTATATTTTAACAGGCTTAGACAGTTAAAGTCCGTTAAAAATTCATAACTTTGTCATCCGACGTCTGCTTTCGACTGTCTTTATATGGTTGAGCTCCTATTAATGAGATCCTCAATTCATATTTAGGTTGTGTTGGCTAAAAATCGATTGATCTAAAATTCGATTTCCGGGTTGTGCACTAATGTGCTAAATCTTAGAAAAATCATAACTTCCTCAAATGAAGTCAGATTTGGACGTTCTTTTTATGTACGTTCTCGGTTTAACGTATACTATGACTTCCGTTTAGACCTATAAGGCTAAAAAGTAGTTTATCAAAATTTCACTTTTTACGATACGCGGCGCCGTGCCGGTTTCGTCGTAAAACTTCGACGGGTCATAACTTCTTCGTTATAAGTCGGATTTCAGCGTTCTTTATATCCTCAGAATCCTTTTGATGACTAATTTGACTTTCTTCATAGATATTGGGTCTATCTATTATTTTATTTTTGACGCATATTTTTGTTATTATTTTATTATGTCGTTATAAGCACATATGTTGCACATAACTCACATAATACTCAAATAATTCTTCTTCATTACTTCAAAAATAGGTTACAAATGTTGAACCTAACTATTACATCATAATAATAACGCTTAGCCAGAAACGCGGGTGTTACAATTCTCC